GGATGATCCTACGGTGGTGAATCCGGCGTGGAATGCTCAAGCGTGGACGGACAAGGAAGCTATGCGCACGGAGGAGAAGGAGACTGCAGGGGAAGGATGGAGGGTTGGTCGGCCTACTAAGACGCAGTTGATGCGCGTCTGCAAACCATTCGTTGACCTTCCATCCTCTCCGCCTTTCTCGAATCCAACAACCATCACCGAGACCATCGCACTCGTCGAGCACCAAATCTACTGCGACGGCCTTTCCCGAACCCTCGCCCACTACCGACAAAAGTGGGCTGCAAATGGGAAACAACGTGCCTGGCAGACCTTCGCCGCAGCATTACCAAAGCTATGGCCTAGCGGCGAGATACCAAGTGTTCCACCCGTACGTAGCGAACCTGGCGTGAAGCTTTCGGTGAAGCTGGCTACAATCGATTGCATGAAAGAATATGGTGAAACGCCGTTTAGTCCGTTGAATGGGACTGAGGCGTGGACGAGGGATGATGATAGAGTTTGGGATGTTGTTGAGGTTGTTGTCGAGGAAGAACCTGTGTCGCCTGTCGCTTCAATTGAAGAAGAATACGATGACAATGACGATGCTGGGGGCAAGGATGGAGAAGGGACTGGTGATTCAGGGGAGGACGACAGCCACGTTATAGACGATTAGGCGTAGTATCGCCGTAATATCGTGGTTTCCGTTCTGGATTTCACCTTTTCAGATTTAGTTGTGGCATGGTTGGAAGAAGTTAAGAATAGTTCTGCGGTGTCACCTACACCGAGCGAACCGCTTGATGAAGTGACGGAGCTACGCGAGTGGGAGGAAAGGCACCTGCGGGGTAGCAACAACTTGGGCGGTGGTCTTGCGGTCGTCGACGGCTCGTGCTCGTTCTGCTGCACACTATAGACATATCTTAAAGCACAACAAAGTAGACATTAAGTACTATACAATGTAAAACAGCTAAAAAATAATATTAATATGAAGTAAGAAGTAGTTAAGATAGAGTATATACATAATATGTAGCTATAATATTTACTTTGTATCTTTATATAGTAATATTATACTCTCTAGACCTATGAGATAAAGTCTATAGTCTATATTTTTTAAAATTATATAATTATAAAATTATGTAATTACGTAACTATATAATAATATTTTACTATATTATATTTAATAGTAAACTTAGAAATACCTAATATAAGCCTAGATTAATAACTTATAATACTTATACTTCTACTACTTCTATGATAATTATTATATATATAATTATAATAGACTAACTACTTAATATATATTATATATTACTAATAGCTAACTTAACTATTATCTAAGTATATAGTAATACTAGTACTAGATTTATATAGTTATATAATACTAAAAAAAAAATCTAATAGATTTACTACTAGTATAAAGCTTCTAAACTAACCTAAGATACTTTTATAATATCTATATAAATAATCTTTGTATTATATATTATTACTTATAAGCCTAGCTCTATTAGTTATTAAGTAGAAATCTAAATCTTAAGTAGTAATACTTATAGCTTAAAGAGCTACTAATTCTAAAAAGATAAGAACTATTACTAGTACTCTAAAGAACGTATAACTAAAGAAGGTGTTTCTAAAGATTAAGTAAGTATAGTGTTATATAGAACTTGCGGTTACTTCTAGTAAAAGGTAAGAAATAAGTTTATATAAATTCTCGCACTACACTACTATATTAGTAGTTATATTTTACTATTCTTTAGTATACTAACTATCTATTTTACTTATTATTCTATATTTATTTATATAGCTTAATACTATATTATATATATACTATTTTTTATAGCTAGTAAAGTACTACCTCTCTTTAGCTAAGAAAAATATTATCTACTATATTCTAGAAAAGGTTAAGCTAACTTTTAATTACTAGTATATCTAATAACTTAGCTAGCTTTAAATCTAATATACTAAGGTAATTAGACTATTTTTTTTAAAACTACTTAATTATTAAAAAAAATACCTTTTTTAATAAGATAGTATATATCTATAACATATAAACTTGTAAAGTATCTTTTATTATTAGTAATAACTTTTATTTTTTTCTTACTATTATAATAGAAGCTATTTTCTTAGTTATATTTTTATAGCTGTATTTTTTTAATCTTTTATTTTAGAGTTTTTAGAAGAAACTAGAAAGTTAAATATACTATGTATATAACTAGTAAGATCTACTAAAGTAGTATATTTTATTACGCTAAGTAGTAATATATTTATAGATACTAAAGCCTCTATTATAAGTATAAAAAAGAAGTTTAGTACAAAATATTCTTTATATTTAGTAAATATATTAGTAGATTTTTATAGATATATATAAAGGTATTAAGAAAGATATAAAGAAAAGAGAAGTATTTTATAAATATAAGGTTTTATAAGAATTCTTCTAAGCTACTGTTTTCTAAACTAGATTTTAACTATATAAATATTTCTAGACTAATACTACTATAGTTTAATACTGCTTTCGATCTAGATTTCTCTTACTTAGTAGAACTATAGTTTTATACTACCTCTACTATAGTTTTCTATCTACTTCTATAGCTAATAGAAAGACTTTTATTTAATATTTTACTAAACTCTATCTTCTACTCTTTCTACTAAGCCTTTTTTATTATTACTATTAGTATTTTTACTCTAGAAATCTTATTTTTGTTTTAAATAAAAGAATTAAGAATCTTTTAGCATCTCTTTAGCTTTATAGCTTCTCTATTACTACTCTTAAGTCTACCTCTAAGTCTACTAGAAAAGCTTCTATTGCTATTACTCTTTATAACTATACTATTATTATTACTATTATTATTACTATTATTATTATTATTATTATTATTATTCTTATTCTTATTATTATTATTATTATTATTATTATTATTATTATTATTATTATTATTATTATTATTATTATTATTATTATTATTATTATTATTATTATTATTATTATTATTATCATCATTATTATTATAGTACTATATCTATAGTAAACGTTCTAAAGAAAGTTTAACTAATCTTTTTAGATATCTATATAAAACTTACTATATAGAGTTACTAACAAAATTTTAATACTTTACTCTATATTAACACTTTACCTTAATTTATAGTAATCTTATTATAAGAATATTCTTCAATACTTTATACTTAATTTCTAAAATTATTAAGATTTTAAAGATTTTATTCTTCATATCTACTATAATTTTAATTTATTAGTAAACTAAATTTTTTATAGCATAATCTAGTCTAAAAATAGTAAAGTCTATTACTAGTCTATAAAAAAAGAATATTTCTATAAAATATAAAAGTTTATAATAAGATATAGATAATTAATAGACTAACGCTTAGATTTTTAAAGCTACTACTTCTAGCGTAGTTAAAGCTTTTAGAATTATTAGTAGTAGAATAACAATTTTACAAATACTTTAATTTATACATATAATAGTACAGAGAATTATAATAAAAATAAATATTCTTTCATAGCTTATAACTTACCAACCTATAAATTAAAAAGTAATAAAATTCTAAAATCTTACTCTATAAAATCCTAATTCTTATTCTTATTCTATAGCTTATAGCAAATATAAAATCTATAAACTTATTAAAGATATAAATAGTAGCTTAGATCTAGTACTAAAGATATACTCTCTAAACAAGCTTTTAACTACGTTATTACTCTTTTTTATATTTTTTTAGTGTTAGTAAGTCTAGAGCTAATCTTATAACTAGTTATATTATCTTACGTACAAAAGCTTTATTAAGCTCTATTATTATTACTATATTCAATACTTTTCTTTTAAACGTATTACTACTTCTATAGACTTTCTTAAGATTATTATTCTAAACAATATTATAAAAGCTTCTATAACTACTCTATATTAGCTATACTAAAAGCTATTATACGCGCTTTATTTTCTATCTATTATATATACTATATAACGCAGCCTTAATAAAGTTACGTTCTTCTACTATTTAAGCTATAAGTAGTATTCTAAAAATCTTACTCTCTATCTACTAAAGCTATTATAAAGATTATAATAACTTAATTATTATTATCTTTTTATTATTAAGCTTTGTTAAGATTGCACTTATTATTATTTCTTAACAAATTAGAATAATTCCTAGTAAATCTAATTAATTACGTAATTAAGACTTTAGTAGCTACTTTTAATTTGCTACACTAAGAGATTCTAAAACACCTCTATTCGTCTTAGCCTAGCTATTATTAGAGTTATTACGTAAGATAATAACTCTTGTCTTTCTTATCTCTCTTTCTGTAATTACTAAAAGATCTAGTAATAAACTAATTATTAGTCTATGCAATAAAACGCATAGACTAATATAATTAGTACTAGTCTAGATTATAAATCTAGGAGATAAGAGAGATTTAGCAGACTTAGATTATAAATCTAGGAATAAAGCAGATTTAATAATAAATATTGATCTTTAGGCGGAAATTAGCGGATATTTACGCAATTATTCTAGTAGCTATTTTCTATAAAAGAAATAGCAATTTTCTATAGTTATTCTTTACCTAGCAATAATATTATTACCTTTTACCTATTATCTACCTTGCAATTACTGCAATCTTTATTAGTTATACTATTTATTATAGTATTTAACTACTTTGTTCTAACAAAGCTATATTCTATTATTAGAGAATAGTTTCTCTTACCTCTCTATTCTTTACACTAAGCTCTAAATTACTTATACTATTTCTCTCTATAACTCTTTTTACGTAGTAAATCTTATAGTATTACTATACTATTATTATATCTAGCTCTTTAAGAATCTATATATTACTAATACAAAGCCTTAGCTAAATTAGTTTATAAGAGTTTAGAGATACAGAAGTAAATAAAAATAGTATTTATAGCTTACCTTCTATAGAAAAATGCTATTTATAAGATAGAAGCTATAATAGAATGCTATAAGTTCTATAAAAATCTAGATAGTAAGAAAGTAATTGTTATATCATAATTATTAGTAACTTCGTACTATAAAGCTATTATAGTATTTTAATAACTATTACATTATTTTAGTAGTTCTTAACTACTACTTAAGTTTAAAAACTACATAAGTAAGTATAGTATTAGTTAGAAGCCTTAGTTCTATTAGTAATATACTTTACGTTTTTCAAATTTACTAGTAGTTCTAACACTATTAGCTGAGTGTTTCTAATTTTTTATACTCAAAAAAAGCTTATAAGATTAGGTATAAGACACTATAAAAGCTCTAATATAATAAAGCTAGAAAATAGAAAAGAAGATTTTTCTAATTTAACTTATTAAGTAAAAAAAAGTTTTATAAACTAGACATTAATAGTAATTGAGACTTTTCTTATAAAACAAAGTAAGGAAATAAAGTAGAAGATAAACCTAAAAATAACATAAAGAATAAAAGAAATTATAGTATTAATATAACACTTTACTAAGTACTTTAATAGAAAATACAAGATTTTAGTAGATAAATTACTAAAATATAGTAGTATATATATAAACTATACTTATAGTTATAATAAAAGAAAAATGTATAAAACTTTTTATATATAAAAAACTTTTTGACTTTTTCAAAAGTACTATTCTATACTTTTTCATGAATAATCACTATAATAACTTAGTACTAAAAGCTTTTAATACTTGATTT